GATGAAGAAATTCTTGGTCCTGAAGTACCGTATCTTAGTGCAATTGGAGCACTAATGTACCTTGCAAGTCATACCTGACATATCATTTTCAATTAATTTATTAGCAAGGTTTAGTTCATTTCCAACCCGAAGGCATTGGAATGGGATTAAACATTTACTTCATTACCTTCAAGGTTCGAAGGATATGGGTTTATTTTTCCCAAAGTTGTCCAAAGAAAATTTGATTGGTTTTGCAGATGCAAGTTATTTATCTGATCCACATAATGGTCGGTCACAAACTGGATATGTGTTCACATATGGTGGTACTGCCATTTCTTGGCGTTCCATGAAACAAACCACTGCAGCTACTTCTTCCAATCATTATGAGATTTTAGCAATTCACGAGGCTAGTCGTGAATGTGTATGGTTAAGGTCGGTAGTTCAACATATAAAAGAAGTTTGTGGTTTATCATCTGGAAAAGAGGCACCAACAACTTTATACGAGGATAACCCTACTTGTATTGCTCAACTTAAGGAAGGATACATCAAAGGCGACAGAACAAAGCACATCTTACCCAAATTTTTCTTCACTCATGATCTTCAAAAAAATGGAGATATAAATGTATTGCAGATTCCTTAAAGTGAGAATTTAGCAGACTTATTTACTAAGGCTCTTCCGACAGCAACATTCAAAAAGTTAGCTTACGGCATTGGATTGCGTCGTCTTAAAGATCTCAAGTGATGTAGTCATGAGGGGGAGTTAATGCGTGCTGCACTCTTTTTCCCTTAACCATGGTTTTTTCCCACTGGGTTTTCCTGGTAAGGTTTTTAACGAGGCAGCATCTTATGCGCATTATAGTGTATTATTTTGTACGGGTTTTGTAGTAAATTTTAGTTATTGTTTTATTCAATATATAGTCATCCAAGGGGGAATGTTATGATAATATCTAAATATGGATGACTATTATCCCATGTACAATCTAGAATATTCTAGAGTTGGGTATTTGGTCTTATCCATTGATGGAACCCTAGGTAATGTACATTATATATATCCCGTACTAGATGGAATATGAAATATAACGTAACAATCTTCCCTCATCTCTCTATATTTTCTCTTCCATATTTAACAATTATCGGTTTTTTTTTTCATCACTCTCCTTTTATGAATGTTTTTTTTTTTTGTAAATGCATCACTTCTATATTTAGCAACTTTATACTATATTTTATCATTCTCTCTTATTTTAAACCATACCCAAATTATTTTATCATTTCTCTTTCTTCCATGGTCCCCACTTAAATAATAAAAATATATATCCTCTCTCACATACTTTCTCTTTCATGGTCCCCATCTTACTTTTACTATACTAGTTTATTCACCTACTCACAATATTATATTACTCTCCTAAAATTTTGTGCATTTCCAAGTAATACAAAATAAATAAATAAATAAATAAATAAATAAATAAATAATGAGGAGGGAGTACTATATATTTATGTTGGTCGTTCAGTTCACCTCTTGTTTCACCATTATCACTTATATTGGTTGGGTTCCTTGATATGCTTTTAAGTTTAGTTTAGTTCATTTCAATTTAATAATTTTTATTTTCTTTTGTTTTTTTCAATCTCCTCTTATTAGGGTTTTTTTATTATTTTTTTAATGGTTAGGAGAAGGACCCTGAACGAAGATCATTCCTTACGGTTTTTTTTATTCAGTATTTACAGGTCAAACACTATGAGAGTGAGGGGAAAAGATAAGGGATCCTCCACACTCAAAGTGTCTCTAGCGGGAATTGAATCCCTAACCTCAAAATTGAAAGGTACAATCCTTACCACTAGACCAAGTTTAACTTGATATCTCCTCATATTAGTTTATCCATAAGACAAGAGGACTTTTACAAATTACTTGTATAGTCGTATTAGTTTATCTATGAGACTGAAGAACTATTATATTAGGTTTGTCTAAGTTTATCTATGAGACTGAAGAACTATTATATTAGGTTTGTCTAACCCTATGTTGTGAGGACATTAAAATTCTTAAATTTTACTATAAATAAATTAATACTTTTGTGTTATTTGCTACCTTATATTTGATTATATTTATATTCTAAAAGCTACCCTCTATCTGTTGCTAGTTGATTCAACAATACTACAAGAATAAGAATATGATTTAGAATGAAAAAATGCACCCATTACTATTTTTTATCATATAAACAACAAATCTATGGTGTTTAATTTCCACGTATCTAATCTAAGAATTGTAGAAGAATATGTCAAAATGGTTCAAATCAAAGAAATTGGAGAAGCCAATTTTAGTGTATCTCGTTAATTTATCCCATCATCCATTCAAATACAAGCAAAACATAAACTAACCAAACTTTATTACAACTCTAATTTCTCTTGAAAGAATAAATAAACTCCAATTATATCCAACCTCCTTCCTATAATTACTCTTCTCCACCAATTAACCCTTCTCTTTTCCAATCTAAAATAAAAATTTACCTCCCAAAACAAACACCTTAGAAAAACACTAGGGTGAAAAAATAAAACTATCATAAATATAAAGTAACAAAATACCAAAAAAAAAAACGCCATTTCTTACAATGGCGGAGTTATTATCATCAATTAATATGATGAAAATAAACAAATTTTCGGTTGTTTTGGTCACCATCCTTCTCCCATTGTTGGTAGTACAATCAAAGAGGCCACCTCCTCTTACAAAGGACTACTACAAGAAATCATGTCCTCGTTTCGACGACATCTTAAATGGCATTATAACCACCAAACAGGCAGAGACACCCACAACAGCAGCTGCTGTGGTTCGAGTTTTCTTTCATGATTGTATGGTGGATGGATGCGATGGATCAACCCTCGTGGCATCGAACCATCTCCATGGCAAGGCCGAAAGAGATGCTGACATCAATCTTTCTCTCCCTGGAGACGCCTTTGATCTCGTGACTCGGGCTAAGACAGCCCTTGAGTTGGAGTGCCCTGGCATTGTTTCTTGTACGGACATTTTGGCTACCTCGGCCAGGAACCTTATTACGATGACTGGTGGTCCTTTCTATGAGATTCCCCTTGGGCGTAAGGATGGTCTAGTTTCCCAGGTCTAATCCCGACCCCACCTATATAACTTTGTTTCTTAATACATGCAACATTTTGACTTTTACACTTGACAATGCACATCATTGATCATTAACTTTTTCAAATAAATCTAAAGAATTTAAATCATAGGTAATTCTGGTTATTGGTTAAAACATATTTAGCTATTACGACCTATTTCATACATATATCATGTAAACTTTGTTACGTGATAAATGTTACAACAAAATATTTGGTAATATTCTAAACTCTAAAGATAACATATTACATTCTAACATGTTAAATTTGTCTCTTTGATACTAGGCCTCAAGAGTGCTTGGCAATTTAGCCCTTCCAAACATGACAATGACTCATATCATAGACATGTTCAAGATCAAGGGGTTCACAGTCCAAGAGATGGTGGCTCTTGTAGGTGCTCACACAATTGGGTTCTCTCACTGCAGCGAGTTCAGCAACCGTATCTTCCACTACAGCAAAACCCAACCCGTGGACCCAAAGTTGAACCCTAAATACGCTGAAGGGCTCAAGAAGTTATGTGCCAACTACACCAAGGACCCAACCATGGCGGCCTTCAACGACGTTATGACCCCTGGAAAGTTTGACAACATGTACTACAAGAACCTCCAACGTGGCCTAGGGCTCCTCGCCTCAGATCAAGCCATGGCCGAGGACCCCCGGACCAAGCCCACAGTGGACCTCTATGCTGCTAATGAGACAGCCTTCTTTAATGACTTTGCTAAGGCAATGTTAAAGGTGAGTATTTACAAGGTTAGAAGTGACAAGGATGGAGAAGTCAGGCACAGATGTGATTCCTTCAACAAATAAATGGAAACTTAATTATGAGATGAAAAGGAATTCTAATTAGGAGGAAATGAGAAAGAATGTCCTTTATTTTCCTAGGAATGAGATGAATGTTGGACCTAAAAGAAAAGAAAAAAACACACAACCAAAAATTTCATGTAATCATATTGTAGTGACATCAATTTGATTTTATTGTCATTTTTCTTTCTCTTTTTTTTTTTTTTTTTTTTTGTAACCATGTTTTTATGGTTTAATTTAATTTCTTTTATGTAACTTGACTTTCCATTGTAACCCAAAAGAGTTTTCATTTTACATTTGTCGTACTGTCCTATCACTAAGCTATATAGAAATTATCGTATGCTTAACTTCCTGTTAGAATTTTAATGATTTAAAAATTAAAAAAAAAAAAAAATATATATATATATATATATATATATACTTCCTCCGTTCTTTTTTTATTGCGCCATAGGAGGTTGGCACAAGATTTTTTGTAGTGGAAAAAAAGATGAGAGAGAAAGGTAAAAATACAAGATTGTCAATGTGATGGTATACATAAACTAAATAATCATGTGTAGAAAAATAAGGATATATTAGGTATTTATAGTGTGAACACAAGTATTTTTTTCCTAAAATAGAAATGGTGCAATATTTGTGATACTTCAACGGAAGAAGTATAAATAAATAAACTCTCTTGTTTCATAGTAGGAAGTAGGAATCAGCTCAAAACATAATTCCACAAGTAGAGCTAGCTGTCAAAAACAACTTGACACAAAAACTCTAATTACTCGACCAAATCCGAATTGACCGATCATGAATTTCAATCCACATGGATACATACACTAACCTAACTGGCTAACTTAACTCAAATCCTATACGACTCAGTCAATCTCCACTAGTAGAAAAATGCTCATTTGCGTCACTCGTAGAAACAAATGACGCAAATGATATATTTTAGCTTCACTCTAAATAATTTGCGTCGGACATTAACTATAAAGCGAAGCAAAAGTATAATATATTTCAGCTTACTTATATTTGCGTCGCTTTCATAAATAGAAACGACGCAAATAGTAATGTTATTTGCGTCACTCATTTATTGATAAGTGACGCAAATAACTTTGTGGGTAAATTGCGTCACTTCTTTCTTCATTGACCGACGCAAATGACTATTACCACTACCACCCACCTAGTGCTTCCTCTCATTCAATATAAAATACTCTTGCTCCCATGTCGCTGTTCGAACTTCAAAATTAAACCCTAGCAAATTCAACTGCAAAATCCCCAAAAATTCAACATCAAAACCTCAAGAAATTCGTCCAACCAACCGATTCCCCAGCGTTGCCTTGTTGTCGTTCGTACTGCAAAACCTACCGATTTCAACAGCAAAACCCTGATAAATTCGACCCAAACCAACAAATTTGACCCCAAAATCAACAAATTCGACCACTAATTGAAAACCCCAAAATATCCAAGCCAAAACCCCCCATTTTCTAGCAAATTCGAGGCAAAACACCCCATTTTTGAGCAAAAATCGACCCAAACCACCCACGAAATTCAAACTATTAAAATCGTTGATATTCGAGATGAAATACCCTAAATTGAGGCTAGTAGGGGATTGCTGCTTGTTGGTGTTGCTGTTGATGGTTAGCTGGGGCGGCATTGGCTGATTTATGCGGTGGCAGCACTATTAATTGGTGGAGATTTGGGTGCCGCTGCGGTGGTAAATTGCTGTTCAAAAGTTGCTGGAGTTCTCACTCGTTCTGCTTTGTTCTATAATTTCTCATTCGTGAGTGAGCTTTTTAATTTCTCATTTTATGTAAACCTTGACTTCACAAAATCTATCACAATTTCACGGTATTTTGAGCAATTGTTCTTGTTTAATCGAGTGTTTGTATCTAGATATAAAGTTTGATTAGTGAATTACTTGGTGCATGTGTAGCAAGTGGCTTGTGGTCGGTAGTGAGTGCGGTGGTGTGGCTTGGTGCAGCGAGCAATTTGTTGTTGAATTGTTTGTGAATTGCAGGGGATAATGTTAAGGTTTCTCTCTTATATTCAGAGTAACTCTAATGTTATTGTTATTCGATGAATTTTCTTGTTTAATTGTTCTATAATTTGAGATATTATAGTTAATTTCTTACTTTATTTATCTCATATTAAAGGTAAATTAACATTACAATTGAAGTGGCATAATCTAATTCTTCATTAATTACCGAATATCGGTTCCACAATCTAGAGTTTCATTATACACTCTTGCTAATCTAAATTTCAGTATACTCAACTTGTGGCATTTCTAAGGTGGAGTTTGAACTACATTTATGATTTCACTAGCTTTATAGTTAAATATATATTTTCGTTTGATTCTATGTATTCTTTGATGTTGTAATAAAGCTATATTTTTTCAATACATGTATTGGGTTATGAAAGTGTATGACATGAAGTTCTTGAAGAATAAGGTTACAGTACTTACATATAGCATAGGCTTGATTACATTAGTTAATTGATTTTCGTGTGGTGAAATACTTGGTGCAAGTGCAGCTGATGGTTGGTGGTTAGTGGCGGTGGTGTGGCTTTGGTGCAGCGGCAATTTGTTGCAGAGAGCTTTTTTGTTGTTGAGTTGTTTGTAAATTGCAGAGGAGAAGGTAAAGGTTTCTCTCTCACAGTCACATATACATATTAACTCTAATCTTTTTGTATTTCATTGAATTTTCTACTTTGATTGTTATATAATATCAGGTATCAGTTGGATCAATAATCTGCTTATCGCATTTCTCTAGCTAGTTCAATCTCACAAATAAGAGCCATATTTTCTGCCACAAAATAATTACAGGACTTACTATTTGCAGAAAAAGCCGAGACATAGTTCCTAAATCCTAAATTTCACATTAGCATGTTTATATAAGACTAAGTTTCAACATTATTTATCACCTGAGATAATTGTTTGTTTTTCTGGGGGTTGGGGGAAACTGATAATAATTCTTGAAGCAGTTAATTTGATTAGAATGGGATCTTGGCAATATTTGATCAATTACAAAAGTTTTAAAAGAAGTTTAAGCCTCCAAGACAAAGTTTGGTCTCCATGCAAACAACTTCATCATAGTTCAAAAAACAATGGAGATTGTGAAAGTGTATGACTTGAAGTTCTCGAAGAATAAGTTACAGTGAATATTTTGTTGCATGTATAGTGATAAATAAAAACAATGGAGTGAAATAAATTCTTAACTAAGATGTATTTTTTCTTAAAATATGGTGAGAATGATTAGTATTCTTATTTTTCATGCTTGAGTTTGTATCTCTTTTGAAATAAGTTGTATTAGTATGTCAACTTACTTTGTTGCTATGATGCGTGTAGTGACATAAAAAATTGGGAGGATGTGAGATATGGATACTATGTCATGTGCTATACGTTTGAAATAGTTCAACATCATCGTAATATAATGAGGACCTTATTATAGTATGTGTTGTCACATTTTTCATTACTAATTCAATATATTTTAGATTTGCTACACTCTTGAAATGATTATTTTTTTTGTTTTGTGTTGTGTTAACAGGTTTATTTAGAACAATACCTTATACTGGGGAGGAGATAAATGTGGTTCAAGATATTTGGTCAGACAATTTTATGAGCAATGTTGAAATTTAGAATTTAACTTAGCTAACTCCATTTATTTGTTAGACTTTTTTTGTTTAGTTCTTAGGCTTGAAATGAATGTAATTCTGTTACCAACATTTTGGGTTGGTCTTTGTTCTTGTGTTGGTTAATGATACCAATCATTTTGAGTTGTAAACTTTTTGATAGGATATTAGTGTATACATTGACGTCATTCCCAAATTTATGGGTAGGCCAATATACGAAGGAAAATCTGTCGAAATATATACTTGATTTGATTAACTTATCATAATCTATTTGTCTTACATTATAAAATTACAATATATTGATGGAAAAGTATAATAATGTTTTTTTAATATATTTGAAAAAAAAAGAAATCATTTGCATCAGTGGTTGAATAAATCCTCAACCAATCATTTGCATCACTCATTTATAAAACAAGTGACGCAAATAACTCTATTTTATACATCAGTTGAGTCATTTGCATCACTCGTTTAACAAAGGAGTGACGCAAATAACTCTATATTATACATCAGTTAAGTCATTTGCGTCACTCCTTTAACAAACGAGTGACGCAAATAACTCTATATTATAACAATAGTTAAGTCATTTGCGTCACTCCTTTAACAAACGAGTGACGCAAATAACACTCATTTGCGTCGCGAGCAGTTGCGTCGTTCATAGAAGCGACGCAAATACACCCTAAATGAGCGACGCAAATGAATGTTTTTGTACTAGTGCTCGCACACCCAATTTGACAGCCATACTAGCCAAAGGGCTGCAATCAATAGTAGCACGATCGTGCGACTGATGCGACCAGGACAATTAAGCTAGCCCAAATTAAACTCAGCTCTGAATGAGAGCAAGAGTTGGATTGGTTGCTCAGAGAAAATCGGGGAAAGAAAGGAATTCTCAAGAGGTGAACCAATGAAACAGTGATAACAATAGAACAGAGAAAATGAGATTTAGAGAGAGAAGGAGAGTAATTTCATTAATCATGAAAAGTTCTTACATCATGATGATGGCTTATATAGCCTTACACTGATAATTCAAATAACAGAAAATGGCATAACAGAAAGATTCTTTCCTAAATACAGAGAACTTGATTATTCCTTCTCAACAACTTTTGCCAGCTGTCAACTCAACTGCCAGCTCATCTCCTCCCTTTTCCTCATCTTCATTCAATGTAACAGTGCCCAATTCATCCAGACTCATGCTCAGGCATGTATCAATACCTCCCCCTCAAGAATATCCTTGACCCCAAGGATCAAAATCAGGATACTTCTGCTCAATCTCTTTGGCATCTGCCCAAGTGGTATCCTCAGGCCCAGAATTTGACCATTGAATCAACCATTGAATCACAGCATGGTTATGGCGTTTGACACTTCTTTTATCTATCACTTTCTCAGGCACTTTAGGAATGGACTGATTAGGAGCATAGATAGGAGTGGGGTCAATGGTGGGTGGAATAGGACCTACATACTTCTTAAGTTGAGAAACATGGAAGGTAGGATGTATCTTTGAAGAGCTAGGTAACTGAAGAGTGTAAGCCACCTGCCCTACTCTCTTGAGAACTTCATAAGGTTCAAAATACTTTGCAGCCAACTTCTGGTTCTACCTAAATTTTACAGAACTCTGTCTGTAAGGTTGCAGCTTCAAGAAAACCCAATCCCCCACCTGAAATTCTCTCTCACTTCTTTTCTTGTCTGCTTGTTGCTTCATTCTATTTTGAGCAGTATGCAAGTGCTGTTTCAACACTGTAATAGTGGTTTCCCTTTTCTGCAAGCTTCTGTCCACACTCTCAACCACACTAGTGCCAGGAAAATAGGGTGTGTGCATGGGTGGGGTCTGCCCATACAAGACTTCATAAGGAGTCATCTTAGTAGCAGAATGATATGTGGTGCTATACCAATATTCTGCTAGAGGAAACCATCTAGCCCATTCTTGAGGAAAATCACTGCACATACATCTCAAATAAGATTCAAGACATCTGTTGAGCACCTCAGTCTGTCCATCAGTCTGGGGGTGGTAAGTTGTAGAAAGTTTATGTTGGACACCTTGCAGTCTCATGAGTTCTATCCAAAAGTTGCTAAGGAAGACCTTGTCTCTATCTAAAACAATAGCCCTTGGAGACCCATGCAGCTTGTGGATATTATCTAGATATGCCTGAGCCACTTTAAGTGCTGTGAATGGGTGAGATAGGGCAACAAAATGAGCATATTTGCTCAATCTATCCACCACCACCATGATCACCTGTTTACCCAAGGAATTTGGCAAACCCTCAATAAAATCCATTGAAATCTCATCCCACACTCTATCAGGAATAGGTAAGGGTTGTAATAACCCAGGAGAGGCACTCTGATCATACTTGCATTTCTGACACACAGCACATTTCCTCACATATTCTATGATAGATTTCTTCATTCCTGACCAATAGAACAGTGATTGGACCCTTTTTAGGGTGGCTTCCACCCCAGAGTGACCCCCAGCTGCTGAGTTATGCAGCCATTGCAAAATCTTATCCCTTAAGTCAGGTAAGAACCCAATGACAAGCTTTCCCTTTATTCTCAACGAACTGATTATGCTGCCAAGAATAGTGAGGGTTCTTGGTAGGATCAAGTTGTATTTCCTTGATCAAATCCTGGATATTAGGGTCTTTATTCCACCCTTCCTGTATGTCATCCCAGAGAGTTGAGTTGGTTTGTGAGATGATCATAGCTGACAGCTCAGGACTTGGCATTCTAGAGAGAGCATCAGCTACCTTGTTTTCACAGCCCTGCTTGTATTCAATCACATATTCCAACCCAGCTAATTTAGATAGCCACTTCTGCTGTGGGGGTGTAACTATCTTATGATCTAGCAGAAATTTGAGGCTCTGCTGATCAGTCTTGATAGTGAATGGGTGGAGCATCAGATAGTGTTGCCACTTTTGTACAGCACATACTATAGCCATCAATTCTCTCTCATAAGCAGAGAGATGTAGACTCTGATCAGATAATGCTTTACTAAAGTAAGCTATAGGGTGGCCTTGCTGCATCAGAACAACACCAATGCCAGTCCCTGAAGCATCAGTCTCAATAGTAAAAGCTTTTCTAAAATCTGGTAAAGCAAGCACTGGTGGGGTGCTCATGACTTGCTTAAGTTTGTCAAAAGCTGCAGAAGCCAGATCATCCCAGTGAAATGCATCTTTCTTGAGTAAATTGGTCAGAGGTCTGCTAAGCTTGCCATAGTCTTGTATGAATCTTCTATAATAACCAGTCAGTCCTAAGAACCCTCTCAGTTGTTTGAGAGTCTTAGGTGTTGGCCAATCAGTAATAGCCTTGATCTTCTCAGGGTCAGTTGCAACTCCATGCTCTGAGATAATATGACCCAGGTAGTGTATCTGAGTAGCTCTAAAAGAGCATTTCTTCAAGTTAGCATGCAATGTGTGTGTCTGCATGCATTCTAAGACAGCTGTAAATGTTCCATGTGCTCTTGCCAACTAGCACTGTACACCAAAATGTCATCAAAGAAAACTAAGACAAATTTTCTGAGATAAGGTTTGAATACAGAATTCATTAATGCCTGTAAGGTGATAGGGCATTAGTTAGCCCAAAGGGCATCACCAAGTACTCAAAGTGACCAAAATGGGTCTTGAATGCAGTCTTGTGCACATCATAAGGGTGCATCCTAATATGGTGATAACCAGATTTTAAGTCAATCTTAGAGAAGAATTTAGTGCCCTGCAATTCATCTAATAATTCTTCAATAACTGGGATTGGAAACTTGTCTTTGATAGTTGCCTTGTTTAGTGCCTTGTAGTCTACACACATTCTCCATCCCCCATCCTTCTTCTTCACCAACACAATTGGAGCAGCAAAAGAGCTATTACTGTCTCTAATTACCCCTTGCTCCATTAATTCCTGCACTAACTCCTCAATAACATCTTTCATTCTGAGTTGTTGGATACCTATAGGGTCTGATATTAATAGCATCAGTTCCCTCCCTGAGTGGTATCTGGTGGTCGAATCTTTCCCTACTAGGTGGTAACCCAGCAGGTGCAGCAAATACTTCTGGGAATCTACCCAAAAGAGACTGCAAAGCATCTTGCTCTGGCTGCCTGTATGCCCCTTCCTCAATCTCAGAATGTAATCTGAGATCTGAATCTTCGGTTACTAACTGCATCATGGACAGCTCACCCTCCCTTTGCAGCAACTTAGAGAGTTGGTCAGCCTATATGCCCTTTAATTTCTTGTTTGTTGCACCCCTAAGCTTTACCTTCTTTTGATTCAGCTTAAATTCCATTGTGAGATTCTTAAAATCCCATAATATTGGACCCAAGGTAGAAAACCATTGGATTCCCAATACCATGTTGCTACCACTCAAGGGTAGCAGTAACAAGTCTGCACTGAAAGTGTAACCCTACATTTTCCATGTAAACCCTTTAATCATGGCATCACACTTAATCCTGCCCCCATAAGCCACTTTCACCCATCTAGGTGGCATGTTTTCCACCTTACATTGTGATTTGAGAGCAGTAGAGGTGTCTATGAAATTATGAGTGTTGCCACTATCCAAGAGAATATGAAGAGATTTCCTTCCAAACTGCCCCATCATTCTCATGGTATGAAAAGTGGTGTTGCCATCTAGAGCCTGTAAAGAGATCTGAGCACATTCAGCCTCAGCATCCATCTCATTCTCATTGGGCTCCTCCTCCTCATCAGAATCATCCCCTACTTCTATGTGATAGAGTTGGGGTTTCTTTCCCTTACATTGATGGCCAAATTCATATTTCTCATTACACCAAAAACAAAGGCCCTTGGCTCTTTTCTCATTCATTTCCACAGCTGTTAAGGTTTTTCTGGTTGTGTTTGGGTTTGTGTTTAGCTGGTTTGTGTTTGGTTTATTATAAGTGGAATTGGTCCCTCTCCAAGTGGAAGGGGATCCTTGGGTGGATAGGAAGGGTCTAGGGGGAGTAGGTAAGAGAGGATTGGTTTGAGGTCTTGGTTTTCTAGCTTTATGGGTTGCTTCCTGTAGCTTAGCTAGACAATGAGATTGTTGTATTGTGGTTAGAGAGAACATTCTCACAGCCAGCTGAATCTCTTCCTCCAATCCACCAATATACCAACTGATTAAGTATTCCTGAGAGAGATTCAATCTGCTAGCTAAAGCATCAAAAGCATCATGGTACTCTTGAATAGTCCCAGTTTGCTTAAGAGCCTTTAGATCAGCCATAGGATCATCATAGATTTCCCCAAACCTAGCAGTTATACCAGCCACATACTCAGTCCAGCTACATTGTGGTGTATTTTTCATAAAATTCTGATGCCATAACAGGGCTCTGCCTTCTAAGTGTATAGCAGCAAGAGAAATCTTATTTTCATCAGATATACCATCAAGATCAAAAAACTGATTGCACTTATATAACCATGACTTAAGATCATCACCATCAAATTTAGGGAAATTGATTTTTGTGAGTCTAGAAGAATATTGAGAGTAATTTTTCTGTCCTGGTTCAGAAGTGTCAAGGGTTTTCACAGGAGTTTTAATGGGTGAGTTAACATCAGAAATTAATTTAGTAACTTGTACAGACAAACCCACCATCAAATCAAGCAATTCAGAAATAGATTTGGTGTTTTGACTGATATTCAGATTATTAGTGCTATTAGTTTCGTTCAGGGTCTTACATTTCTCATCCAGAAGTGATCTGAGTGAGGATTCCAGCTTCTGAAGATCAGCAGTTGTCACCGCCTCAGTGTCATCAGTGTTCTGATCGGAGTTCTTTCGTGGTGGCATTGAATATCCAAGGAGCGTATGGCTCTGATACCAATGATGCGACAAGGACAATTAAGCTAGCCCAAATTAAACTCAGCTCTGAATGAGAGCAAGAGTTGGATTGGTTGCTCAGAGAAAATCGGGGAAAGAAAGGAATTCTCAAGAGGTGAACCAATGAAACAGTGATAACAATAGAACAGAGAAAATGAGATTTAGAGAGAGAAGGAGAGTAATTTCATTAATCATGAAAAGTTCTTACATCATGATGATGGCTTATATAGCCTTACACTGATAATTCAAATAACAGAAAATGAATAACAGAAAATGGCATAACAGAAAGATTATTTCCTAAATACAGAGAACTTGATTATTTCTTCTCAACAACTTTTGTCAGCTATCAACTCAACTGCCAGCTCATAATCCTCCCTTTTCCTCATCTTCATTCAATGTATCAATGCCCAATTCATCCAGACTCATGCTCAGGCTTGTATCAGCGACTTGGGTTTGTATCCGAGTTGCTACCCTGAATTGTAAGGTCTAAGCTAAGGAGTAACGCGCCAGAGACTTAGGTATTGGCCGTTTAAGATTATGTACATTATTTCACTTGGCCGTTTATGATTATGTAACTAGGTCTGCGTATGTAAATAATGATTAAAAGTTGATTTAAATGTTATTAATAAGAAATCAAAATTTTAAAAGTTGGACTAATTAACTTGAAATATGAGATTGTCAATACAATCCAACAGAAACGTTCTAAAATTTTAATAAAGTTCAAGCAATATACCCCCACATTTACTACTGTTAACCACTAAAAAGTTGTATCAACATCAGCAAAACAAGTAATGAATAAAATCATGCATTTTATAGAAGCTGATGCTCGGAATACATGAAAAAAGTAGTGTATAAAAAAGGAAAAGGAAACTACATGAATGAATATTACACTAAAAATGAATGACTAATGCTTTACAGGAGAATTACCAAACAAATATGTAGCCGTATCGGCAACTGCATGAAAGAGAACAGCCTGATGCATCTGAATCCAAGATATGCTTGCCCCATATCCTGAAATTTTGCACAAAATTGCAGTCATCGACATGGTTTCTCCATTTTAATCCAAGCAGCTGGATTAAAGATTCTCATCACTCCCCATCCGTATTATAAGAATCCCGAACTCTGAGATAAATAAGATATAATATGGCATCATCTTACTGCACTCAGCATGACTTCCTCTTATCGGCCTTTAAGTGTATATTAAACCATTTTTTCTTCTTCAGCCTTTCCCTAACAGGCTTCCTTTCTCTTGAGCTTGAGTAACCTTCTTCTTTGGACTCTTTAGCTGAACTCCTTTTGGTTTTACTTGAACTACGCTTCATCGGAGGAGCAACTGTATATGAGGCATGTATTTCATTTCGCTGTTTTAGAAGGTCATCAATCTGCAGAACATGTTAAACGCATGAATGAGGTTGGGATTCTTAACATTAACAGCAGAAACAAATGAAGATTGAGCTTTCAAATGAAAAGGCTCTAAAATACTCTTCAAACTAACCGTTTGCATTTCTTTTGCGTATCTATTTGTCATCTCAGTAAATTGAGTAAGAACCTACACAAGTACACATGCAGAAACATGTAAGACAAGAACAGCAAACAGTTCAAAGTCTTCACACCCTACACTATCTGTCCTTTTCTTTTTCTTTTTTAGGGTGTTGGTTTTTCAGTAGATTTATTCCCTGAGATAGAAAGCTCTACTGTTTCGTTCCTTGAATTATTCATGAATAAATAAATAGAAAGAAAGAAGAGTGCTAGGAAATACTTCTCTGTATTCACTCTCAAACTTCGAGAGTTCTGCCCTTTTAGTTAACAAATGAGCTTCCACTTCTCTAAGCTCACCCTTCTCTTTTGTAAAAGGTGAAGCACAGAGAGCTTCAATTGTGTAGCTCATGCTTTTGAAAAAGTTATCACCTGTAAGTTTGCAACAAAAAAAATGTTTAGGTCTCTCCTAGCAATTTATTTATGTGTCAGGATTCCTAATACATATTATAATAATCATCCATAATGAACTTCACATTTAGATTTACCATAAACTAAAGTGGATTAATAAAAAAAAAGAGTTATGTAAAAGTAGAGAATGGAAGAAAAAATAAATGAGGACAGTTCATCAGAATTTTTAATAGAACATCCACCCTCCACTTAACCAAACAACACAAAATCAACAATGAAACCCAAAAATCGATTCTGATTCAAATGTTAACACAGCTAAAAAGACAAATACATACTCTGACACTCTGTTCCAAAGTACATGCAACACTTATATTCTTGGTAGCTTTTTACCATATTCTATCATTTGTCTCTCTCGCCATAATCCCACCAAACACCTTGAATTAACTTATTTAATAGTCAATAAGCTAATGTTGGTCAAATAAGCTGTTTACCAAACACAGCCTTTGTAATTGGTAATTGGTAATTGGTACTTCAGATAGAATACAAAAACAGAGGGACATCAAAGTGTGGATGATGTTGGGATAACATAATGAAAACTCCAAAGTGATAATTGTGTAATTCAGACAGATGCTTTCATGCAAAAACAAAAAGCAGGTGCAAATTTGACCATAATTAGATCCACTGACCATAAACTGCAAATACATGTGTTCCAGCTTTCAATTCAATCACTTCACACGGTTGAAATCCATCCAGCTTCTTAAAAAAGGCGGCATCTGGATCTTTTGCAGCTGCCACCTACAATATTCACAATACTGGGTATAACAAATGCATGCCTTAATTCGAAGTAAATAATTGAAATTGCAATAAATGATAGCTCACCGAACTAGCAGAACGATCTAATCGATAAACAGGGAAACCAAGAAAATACATTCCAGCAGATGTGACCTTTCTGCTCTTGGTGCTGTCTTCCTATTTCGAAAGAAGCAAAACGTTAGCACTTTACAAAGACAAGAAAAATTAGCACATCCTTGATTCCTTTCAATTGACAACATATGTAGTTGAAGTAAATATTTAGACAATAAAAAGGACAACACTATATTTTTCGATTAAAAAAAAAGAATATACTACCTCCGTTAAATATTAGTTGCTACTTTGGAATATTTCATATCTCACAAATAAAACCCCGAAGTTGCAATTAACATTTAACGGAGATGTATGATAAAAGATAGCAATTTTTCTTTAGATTTAAACCAATTTATGCAGGCCTACCAAAAGAAAATATAGCTATTAAACCTCTAGTGGAATCATGCAATCATAGTTGAAAGAAATGCGAAATACCTGTAGAGCAAGACTTAAGCCTCCATTTTCTTCTTGTTCAAAATACAGTAGCTGCACAAAAGGTATGCATCAGTAAGCAACAATGATTTTGCCATAGTAATTTAAAAAAAAAAAAAAAAAAAAAAAAAAAAAAAAAAAAAAAAAATTAGAACCAACAGAGATGAAGTCCAATGCCAGTGGGTTCCAACTAGAATACGACATGCAAAGAAATTCAGCAGCCAAATGCTTTTGAAGAACCAGCATCAACAATTAAGCAAATTATCATTTAAATAAATGGAAATTAAATCTGGAACTCCAACCCACAATAACTTTCATGGTTGAAAGTTGAGAGAGCATTAATATGTTTCCATGTTCCTTTTCCTGGACTGGCAAAGTAGAGAAAGTAGCAGAAAAGAAAAGAAAAGAAAAAAAACTCTTCAATGAAGCCCATAAAGTGTTGGCTTTTGACAAGTTATGCAACCATAGGTATATGATGAGAAGATTAGCATGGGTTGCAGAAGGGTGAAGCAACACAAGATGCTAACAGAAAGGTGAAAATCTGAAGATGTCACAAGACCCAAGATTCCTTCTAGAAGAAACTTCTTATAAAAACTTGAGCAGTAGAGACCACCAAACCAGCTTACTTTCTTGACTTGTCTTACATTATAATATAGTATAACAGTATATATCTTAGAGGTCACACATCAGCTTATAATTACTTCTCATTACTCATCAAAAATAAAAAAGCACTCTTAACTTCAAAAGTTCCAATATTGCTTTCTACCAGTAATACAAGAATGAGTGAGAAAGAAAACATAGATTAAGGAAGAACAGAGGCCTTCAAATGTCTCAAGCTTGCACATAGAATTGTGATGCAGAGACAGATTCACTTATCAAGCACTAGAATGCACATTATTGGCTCTGGTTAAAGGCAGACTCAGTTGATGAATCACCAGCCTTATGACTGCTGTCTAGAATCTAGAAAATTCATGCCAGGTTGCAAAAGGTATGCAACTATTTTTACTCATGTCAACTACCATATAGAAACCACTAGCAAAGAAAGTATCAAATTCAACGCTTCACCAGACGTTTGCATTGATTTACGTAGTCCACTACTATATGCAAACTAGCAAAGGCAGAGTCTTGCTGGTGTAGCAGTTCAACAACTAAACTGTTTTTCTGATTTGACTTACTTGTGTCTAGACTCTATAACATCAATGCCAAGTTGCACTGGAGCATTCATCCTTGCATGCATAATATCATATGCACCACTAACAAAAGAAATATTACAGAAGCATAGTGGTTTAAGCCCTAACACACACTAGGCTGGGTATAGGATTCCAAGATCAGTAGTACAATGTAATAGACTATAATTAAGGAGGGCAATTTGGGAAATTTAGTACTTTTAGGTTAATAGTCATTGACCTTAGTATAAATAGGGATAGTATGTGCAGTAGAATATGATGTGAATTATGAGGAAAAATGTTGAGTAGTAACCTCAAGTTACTAGGAGAGTGATAACCTAAAGTTATCAAGAGAGTGATAGCCTTAAGCTATTAATCTATCCTTTTATACCCAAATTCTGCCACTATTAATCTAAATTATCAAGCTTTTATCTCTTAATTAGTCTTTAAATCAGAAAATACTAAGTCAGTCCATAACATACAAGCCCTCTCAGGAGGCTAGACCAACTCTAGGCCTGAGAACTAGAAGCGGAAAGGAAATAGAACTGGCGCATAACACAAACCTTAAATTTGCTTTTATCAGATGATTGCACACGGCAGACAAGTCCACCTTGTGCCTCTTCTTCAGTTATTGAGACGGAATAAAAATGAGCAGACTGTTTTTCTACCTGTAAACCAGGTTGAGGAATTAAATAAGTCCAAGAAAACAAAAACAAAAACAAAAATAAAACAAAACAAAACAAAACAAAAGACAGATAATTGACACTTCAGCTATTGAGACAGAATAAAATGGGCAAATTGTTTTTCTACGTGTAAACCAAGTTGGAATTCAACAAGCCCGAGAAAAAAAAATCAGAAGAGAGACAACTGACACTTCAATCGTACCTTTCTAAATAAAGGTTGGCCTAGTGGAAGAGGTGAGACAGGTACCCTGCCATTTAACGCTTCTTCTAACACTGTGGCAGAGACTGTGGTCTTGATGGGCACACCAAGTTTGCTAAATAGTGCCGCAAACATTGTATTTACAGTTCCCAAACTTGAAAGATCAAGCTCAAGTTCTTGATTTTCAGATTCCACAGCCTAGTTTGTAAATAAAACAAATTCACCCAAAGTGAAGAGACATATATTGGAAAATCAAAGGCCATTCAAATAACATTACATGCCTAGGCAGTTCCTAGGTGGTTGCTCACCTCAAAACCAGCTGTGTCATACTGGCGTCTTTTCTCAGGATCGGATAGTATGTTGTAAGAGAATGTGACCTCTTGGAACATATCCGCAGCCTTAGGATCATTTGCATTCTTGTCAGGATGATACCTGAAAAAAGTCATAGCAATAGTCTTAATCAATTGTAATTGTAATCACTACCATCAAAGGAAGTATATAATAACAATTTGTTATGATTGTCATCCATAATATGTTTACTGGGCATGCTTTCAAGGTGGCAAAAAGTAGAATATATGAGCAACTCATAATGTAGCATTCATATGACTTTAATTTGCCTCGTCTCCCTCAAACCCGTCACAGGCTCGTAACACAGCTTGCGATTCAGGATAAGAAATCGTCAGCTCCATTCAGCTATCTAATCTATCTAAGAAATAGAAGGACCAACATTACCTAATGTAAACAGCGCAATGTTTGCCTCAAAGTAAATACAAATACAAATATACAATAAAATTTTCAAAGTAGAATTGTAGAAAACATTTTTTTTTAAATAGCCCTCCTTCCCTCTAAGTCTCTAACATCACGAACCCACCAAATGCCGTTGGACCCACTAATAGCCAGTGAACCCTCCATCCAAGCTTGCTCCTCCTTCCTCCCCCCGCTCTTTCCTACCAAGAAGCCTCATCTTCCTTAACCCACTACAAGTCCCAATAAAAGATCTATCTTGGAGGAGTCTATGCCTGAACAAAAGGTTTAGCTCGGGACTGAATGACTGATGATGGGAAAGAAGATGCCTCTTTCCAGAAGGAAACAACCAACAAGGAGACTACATTCCAGTATCCCACTTCTATCTAGTATAGTGGAAAATAAGGAAGATTGCACGATTCAAGCAACTTAATCAAATATGCATAACACAAAATCCAACAAGAAGCCTTACATTCTCTTCTTTTTCTGCTCAAATAAAACTATCTGAAATACTATTGAATTCTGACCAAAAGCTCCAGCCGCAAGCAGACCTAATCAAGATTCAGCCAGCCTTCCAACAGGGCTTTGTAAAGTCTGTGACTTTTCCACAACATTTATGCAGGCAAAAGGTCTCTACCATCACAAACTCATGGTATTGACGCATTTTTAACATCTAGTAGCAGGATATAGCAATGTGCAAGGTTGAATTGTCCTCACAGTCTTATCACTAAATCATCTCAACTTGCCTCTCCTACAACCAGCAATGAAAGTTTATGTACTTTCATGTCTTTAAAGAACTATACATAGATTGATATATCCATTCTCAAGCTTTTTCAAGCCATCTTCAACAATGTAAAAGCATACTTCAAGATTTTTAGCATAATTCTACTCTGACAATAATGCCAACATAAATAATCAAGATTAACACATGCCAAATCCTCACGCAGACATCAAGCACTCCCCATGTTGAAACTCGTAATGGACCGTAGCACCAACTCTTGTATAGCGATCCTTTAAGATTGGCTTGTATTCCATGACAAGCAAATAAAAGATGGAAAATCCTAGGCTGAGTTTTGTTAATATACAACATATATCCAATAGAAACAACAAACTCTAATTAGTTACAAAGTATTACGCTTTCAAACTCACAATGTCATTAATAATGACACAAAAGGTTTAGCACGCAAACAACCAAATGTTCCATGAGTCTATACAAAAGCCTCGCACAAGTCTTTGATTCCAATAGCAGGCCATTTAGAACAGTCTTGGTCTATTGGAAGCCCCAACTGGGAGTGATTGATGGACACTTGCAAAGTAATATCATACCTTCTCCTTATTATATGAACTACAGCTACTTTAATCCCATCTAGAGGGCTCGATGCAACACGCAGTCACACACCCGATGCCATTTGACAAACTAGTAACTACCATTTCACCTAAACACTCTTGTATTTGCATATACAACAACCTCCATTTCTCCATCAAAAACCTAATCTTTATTACATTCCCACCACTCATTCAATTACCCACTAAAAATTAAACTCACTCAAAAGACTTTTACACTAATTAAATTCTAAAACTACTACAATTTCCTCTAATCATAACCCAAAAAAATTCAAATTCAAATTTGAAAATAAACCAAATTAAATAAGAGCCCACAATACATGAATGAATCTTAGCTCAGCAATGTAAATAAATAAAAACAAAAATACAAAAAAAAAAAAAAAAAAAAAAAACAGACCATAAATGCTAATCAAATCAAAACCCATAAATTCAAAAATAAATAAAAGACATTAAATTTAAAAATTAATATTAGTAAAGAACATACTTAAGAGCTAATTTGCGATAAGCGGATTTGATTTCTTGATCGGTGGAGTTTAGAGAAACGCCGAGAACTTCATAAGGATCACGACGGAGCTGCGGTTGTTGTTGCGGCGGTTGTTGTTCTTGCTTCTTCCCGGAATTCACTCTTTCCGGCTTCGATTTCTGAGCTGCCGGCATTTTCGAAATCGATTTACCAAATTCTCTCTCCTCCAACAAGAAATCAACCAACCCCAGAAAAAAAACAAACCCTAGAAATCTACACTCTTCTTCAGAAATAGAAATCTACCCTTCGACATAATTATAGTGACAAACATAGTAGATTCAGTGAGATACGAATCATGAATAATTATTTTTGAAAAATGAATAATTAAAATGTGATTTTCGACACTTTATTTCGTTGAGAAATTATGGAAATTGAAATTTGGGGTTAATTGAAACTAATTTTCATATGCGTCACAAAGTTTGAGTTTAGCTTAGAAAGAGAAAGAGAGAGGAGAGAGAAAATTTTAGTACGGAATAAAATTTAGGTGAATTTTTATTTTTTTAATGGTTCATAAAAAGAACTTGAGCTTTCATTCAAATTTTTAAAAATTGAACTTGAGCCTTTTGTGTTTTGTCTCTAGAATTTTGATCACTTGTAGGAAACACAAGTTAAGAATTTTAAAATGGCAACTCAATTATTGTTCGAATTTACCAAATTTATACATAAACTATAATAAGTGTAAATGAGTTATACTCTGTAAGTTTAATAGAGCTCAATTATAGCTCGAATCAAAATCGACCTAGTCAAAATGATTTGAGCTACATACGAAGTCTTAGTATCCAATTATCATTTCATCTTAATTTAAAGATTGTCTCATTTTTAGTCATCTGTCATGTTAGTTAATCTCATAGAATTTATTTTATTTATGTTTTGATAATTGACCCTACTATTTATCTCAATAGCATAAATCATTATAATGTGAGATATTGAGGGATGGCTCAAGTGGTTAGAGTTTTCCTTCCCGTTTTAAGATATCCTGAGATCGATTCTCACCCTCGCCTTTGTAGGCTTGTAGCTCTCTAAACAGCAAAAAAATTAAAAAATTAAAAAATTAAAAACATTATAGGGTGAAAATTAAATGGGACAACATTAAACGAAAAGGGAGTAAATAATTCAAATAGTCTAATGATGACTTGAACTGAAATAACTCGAACCAACCCAAAATTAAACCAACTGGTATTTAAAGATCCCAGGTGTAAATGATTTGAATAAGATCAAAATGACTCAATTGTCACACATTAATGATCCACCCCTTAATTTAAATGTAAGGAAAAATGTCCACAAGTAAAACATAGGCCGTGTTTGGTAACCAACTTATTTGAGCAAAATTAGCGTACTTGACCAATATTAGCTTATTGACTACTCCGTATTAAATAAGCTAACATGAAGTGTTTATTGGAAAGCTTATTTAAAGAGTTTATTCTAGCAAATAAACTCTTTTACAAAAGGAGCTTTTTCAAATAGCTTATTCAATTACTATGATGAAATGACACTTATACCCTCATTTACTTTAAAATCCTTTATGAGCTACATACCCTACAATTAGCTTGTTGGTCATTTCACATACTCAATCAGCTTAAAACAACTACTTATTTACTAAACACTTTTATACAATCAACTAATAAAATAAATTAGTCAAATCAGTTAATAGAATCAGCTAGTTGAAATCAGCTAACACAATCAGTTTCAACTTTCAGCTTTAAGCTTTTCACCAAACAGGGCCATAGACTTCGCCTTTATAAACATCTAATGTTATTTTCCACAGAACAACTCCTCAAGTTCATGTCCTACAAAGTTGTGTTTCCTACACAATTTAAATATACCATGCTAACTAAATAAATGACCACTTAAATTAGCAACTCAGAGTATATTAGTGTGGAATCAACAGCTTAATTAAGAATTACTTAAAAGAAAAATTATATATAGGATCCCATGTGAGTAAATGAGTGTGTAATTGAGGGTGCGCAGTGTGCACCTAAGACAAGATAGATAAAGTGTGATTAAAAATTAGATTAAATGAGGTTGATTATTGCCATAATCAAAGCAATAAAGGTAGGGCATTGAAATCTCAATCTTTATGCTAAGGAAACTTGCTTTTCAATTCATATACTGTAGTTCATATTTTATTGATTTTGAGTATTTTTCACATTATGACATGATCCTTAATTGGAATATGATGGTGTTTTTACCCTTTTTCTTAGATAAATTTTACGGGTTGCTTAGCTTCCAACTTAGTGGTTGTAATTATTACCTATGTTTTATGTTCTGTTCAATCTTTGCGCACAAATTATTGACTAAAATAGGTGTAAATTTTTGTTGTTTTGATGTGGAATAAATGCTATTGCTACCAATGAAAAAAAAATTACATCTTGAGTATAGAAAGTCATATGTCAAAAAAAAAAAAAAAGTTATACATAAGTGTGTAAGTGCTTATTCACTTCGGCTTAATTTCAGTTCTGTTTATTTCATCAGTTTAGCTCCAATCAGTTCAGTTCAGTTCCTAATTTCCTTCTCTCATAAAATATTCATTTAAGTTTTATTCAGTTTAGTTCATTTCAATTTAACTTCAATCAGTTCAGTTCAACTCATTTCAGTAAATGTTAATAGTCCCTAAGTGTAACCTCGGATTCAATAATGTATTAGTAATAGGTATAATTCAACTTTTACTCTGTAATAATTATATTTTATTAAAGTATCTCGACTTTTAATCGAAATGATCTCAGCAACGTCTCTATACTCTATACCCCTCCCACTCCTCAGTCCTCAATAACTCGTTTTGTCTTTCACTCAAATTAATCCCCATAATCAGGTGTAATTTTAATGAGGTTTCCATCTTGAAAATAGGAGAGTTTATTGCTCCATACATCCTATTTAATTTGAAAAGGTAAACCATCTATAGCATTAGTTTGAATTGATTAAAAATAAGAATACTAGTGAAATTGTACAAGTTGGGATTAATTTTGTTAATTTCTATAATCTTTATTCATATTATGAATATCAAATTTGTAATAGTTACTGCTTCGTACTAATAATACAAAAAGTCGAAACATCTAATAAGTAGTATTTTTTTCCCCTCATCGAGTGTGAAAGTGTCAATTTTATTATAGCTAAAGACTTGCTTCTTCCATTTCTTCAAACTTATAAGGCTTGCTTAAAAAGGAATTTATTTATTTTGCGAAGCGACGACGGATCCACTAAAAAAGTTGTATGAGACAACGAATCGAGAATATGCCGAATTGTTATATTTATGTATTTGGATTCTTAGCCCTTCCCCGATTCATTCTTGTTTGATTTTGTTAAATTCGTTTTCATTATTGTTCATTGTCAATTGTAGATGTCGTATGGCTTATATTAATGAAATTTAGTGTCCTTTAGGACATTTTTCAAAAAAAAAAAAAAAGGAATTTATTTATTTAATTAATTTTTTTTTAAATATTCCAATAACATAAATTTAGTTAGGCACCATTAAACCAATATTTAACCATGAAAGTGGGTTCCTTGAACACACGGTCCATGAGAGCTTTTAAAGTCATGTTAAATCATCTTGCTAGATAACCAACCCCAATTACTCAATCAAAGCAATGCTAGATTGCTAGTTATCTAGCAAGTTGTCATTCTGTTTGGTTAATACCTAACAACTACGAAAGAAGAAAAGTCTAGAATATGGATATGTGGGGAACTTGAGAATGATTCATGATCATTGATAAAGATAGTTACAGAGCAAGTGTGACATATTTTATTTATCAGTTTTCAAATCTAAGAGGTACAAAGCTAGAGTTAAAATGTATGGTATTTGCCTGTAAATAATACATACAAACAAGTACTTACAAAAATGTGAACCTCTTATGCATTCAGCATTACACCGCCAAAACAACAATAATAAAAAATTGAAAGATTACAACCAATTACAATATGTAGGTTTTTTTTCTTTAATGTAGATGATAAGAAATGTTATATATATTGAACCAAAAATCTACACCAATCAAAATCTGCCTAGTTTAACAAATAACATAACGCCGCCCTTTGATTGTAGGGTAATGGTAAGAGATCCCCATTGCCCACATCTAAATTGATCCTATCGGGATTTGATTCATCGACCACATAGTTGGTACTCATTGAGAGATGTAAACTTTATCAATAGACCAAGCTTAGCTTAGTTTTTACAACTACAAATTAATTGATGTCACTTTATGCAAGTGTAAGTTGTATTAATTATTTGTTAATCAGTGTGTTGTTACACTCGTTAGCATAAATGCAGTAGTTAGTAGCGGATCTTTCCTTAATAAATTGCAGGAGGAGGTTTCCTTGCAATGTCTCTGACATATCATGACATTGACCAAACACCTAATCCACTGCTTGATATCTGTGAACTTTGTCTCTAAGTTCAAACCAAACAAATTAATTACAAATAATCATATGATAATAATCATATTATACAAGTAAGATGTCATTGCTAATTATTCCTCCACTGTACTTCCTTCTTTTCTTAGAGTTTAACATAACTTTAAGATAAATCCACATCATTTTTATTGAGTTTTGACCGAGGTACCGGCGATAAGGCGTTGTAAGTACAAGTAATTACTTCTTAGGAAAAATTAATGAGTTTAATTTAGGGTCGATTCTATTCACCTTATTTTCACTTATTTCAAACTTGACAAGTTCAGATTAGTTCATGTTATTTCAGATGGTATACTACAAGAGGGGGGTGATTTGTAGTAAGTTCCTAGTGCCTAATTTTCGCGGAATATAAAACAGTTATAGTTAGGAACTTAAAGAGTGCAAAACATATTTTACGAGGAAACCTTCCAGGGCCTAACTGGAAGTAAAACCTCGGCCCTTCTCGGAACTTTCAAACAATCTCCACTATAATTGGCAACTCTCCTAGTACAACCTATTATTACAGACCTTTCTTCACAAGTTCCACCACGGACACTTGCTACCTGATAGGAACCTATCCTACCAACCCAAGACACACTCAGGTTCTTTTTCGACCCAAGACACGCTCATGTTCCTTTCTCACTATGCAACCCAAGACACACTCAGGTTGACTCACTACCACTTGAATTTTAGAGTATTCAAACTCATACGCTCAAATGTGAATTTGTAGAAAATTCACAATCTCACACCAAAACCAAAAACACTCAAACCCCTTTTTCCCATTACAAGGTCTCATCGAATAACTCTAAATACATATATATGAATAAAGAGATAAAACTAATATGTTGGACACTCAAGATTTGTCTGGAACTCACTGGACATACTGTAACCAGAACCTGATAGGAACTTTAACCAAGAGGACTGACTTAGCTTTGTGGTGAAGGATAAAACCATTAAGCACGACCACTACACTTCGTCAGCCTCAATTTTGAATGAATACATATGAGCATATTTATAGTACACTTGAATTATTCATTTCATCTTGAAAAAGATAAGTTTTCTAAAAAGATAAGTTTAAAAGATATTTTCTAAAAACAAGTTTTTCAAAAGTATATCTTTTTGTTAAGAATAAAAACTGTCAATAATAATAAGATAAACTTAACATAAAATTAGATTTTATTCAAAATTTATCTTTTTTGTTTAAAAG